GCCACTTGTTGGCTCAGTGTTCTGCTGTCACACTGGAGGGCGGGCATGGCCCGCAGGGGTAAATGGTGATGTGGGAAGGCACACACTTGCTCATTAGAATTTTGCAGTGATGGGATCAAGCACCTGCCATTCCCACCCCCAAATCAGACAGACTTAAAACCTGTACTCTCTTGCTGGGTCTTCAATAGGGTACTATCCCAGCTCGATATGAACCAAAGTGTATGGGCAAAACATAACTTCTGAACCGTTGGGCAGCCACAATATGAGAAGTGGCTACCCCTACAGTTTCTGCCCCTGTGTCTCCACCCCCCTGTGTCTGCTGCCCTGGCTGCTCTTCCCACAGGCAGGCTGCACCGCTTCTGTCTGAAACACACTTGTACTTACGTCCACCATCCTCTGCACATGCTTGCTTATGGTCTTAGGATCAGGCTTCGGAGAGACTCCCGAGGCCCAGTCCACCACTACTGGTGGCTTTGAAGGTGTTAGTGGCTAAAATGAAATATCCAGAGAAATCTTCATGACTATTAAACTACAGTATAATCCGCAGTGCTTCCTTTCCCAAACCTGGCAGTTACACCTATGGAAAAGCCCCAGAATGTACCACAGAGCAAGGAGTAGAGCCCATACAGAACAGCAGTACTCTTGGCTAGCACATCTATTGTACTTGACACGTTTACATGGAGATTATCTTCATCTACAGAGAAGGTAACATTCCTACTGTGCCGAGCATCAGTCTACCCTTTGTCTAGTCAGGACCATCCACTGGAGATCACCGAAGCGGTCTCTCTACTGGTGACTCACTTTTGCTTAGTGAGATGGGTGACAAGGACAAGAACTAAACAGCAGAGAGAAACCCAGGTGAGGACAGACTTAGATGGGCTCCACGAGATTGAGCCCAAATTAAAATCGCTTCCTCAAATGGGAGAAGGCACCCTTTCTCGCTAAAATGCTCTCTTGTAACACCTTGGCAAGGGGACCTACCAACTTCTTTGGTAAACATTTCCTTTATAGTAGGAAGCTAAAACTTGACCTTTCTGTATAGCGACAAAGGAATTTAACCCTCTGGACATGGATGCTGTTTTTTTGTTTGTTTGTTTTTTTAATGAGAGCAAGCCCTGCCCTTGAGTACCACCTGCTTTGGGCTTGGAAACTTCCCGAGGAACTTCCCGAGGAACTCTAGGGACCATGCTTCGAAAGGCAGCTGGTGATTGTTTCACCTGTCTGCCAGGGGCTGGGCATAGAAGCTGTGACACACCAGGGCTGTGCACTGTTTGGATGGCACCTCAACAAAGAGGCAGCATCCCTCAGGCCACTCTTCCCCCGGTGAAGAGAGAATGACTGGGCTTTTCTCCCTACCAACCTGGAACATTCAAGTTTAGCCTCTGTCTAGTATGCATGCTGCCTTCATCACCACCAACAAACCAGAGAAGAAACCTGCAGCCACTTGTTAATTAACGCGAGGGACCGTCAGTCCAGCCCCTTCTCCAGTTCATAGACCCCCGCCTGATCCCCCTATTGCCCATCCTGGTACTCTCAGGGATGTAGCTGCTGACCATTCACATATTGGCCTTATCTCTTCAACCAGACTGTAAGCTCTTTGTGGACGGAACCACTCCTCACACATACGTTGAAGCTGTCTCAGTTCCCAAAACAAGGTTGGGCACCCTGGTTAGTGACCTGAATGAAAAGTCCGTTCCTTTCGATAAAGTACCCAACCCACCCGCTAAGCATTTTTATAGCACAGACTCACTGGGGCTTTGTGATTCCTGGGTTCCCGGGCATAGGACAGCTCGTAGATTTCATCTTCCGTGTAGTAGAGATCCAGGGATAACTGCAGATCAAAACAGATTTGGTTAATGACTAAGATGCTCTTGACCCTTCCCATGGCTGATGTGCTCTTTCCCCTGATTGCTCCTCTCCAGGGGTTTACTCTTTTAAGCTGGTGATTCATTTTTCAAATTCACAGAAGTTTCGGGGGGTATAACACCTACTATTTTAGTAGGGCAAATGTCAGTTATTCTCATAGTGTTTCTAAAGCGTGAAGCTATCCCAAGATGCCCCTCTTTTCACTCGGATTTCGTATCGGAACCTCTATGTTTATAGTGCCAGGCGGTCCACACTTGACTTGTTCATTCCTAACGCAGACAGAAATTCTTCAAGGTGAGTTAGCATGTCTTCATACTATTAAAAATTTACATGCAGCATCAGGGCCCAGTTTAGATGATCATTGGTAATTATTAAAGGATGCAAAGGGCTAATGGGCTCCAAATGCTTCAGAAGGATGACATTTGAGAGAGGGAGGGGCTGTAGACACATTCTAGTTCTTAGCCTGGAGTCTGGATGGGCATCAGGAAATTGTGTGCACACTTTCGTGTGTATAATTTATGCATATTTTTTCTGAAGGTGTACAGTTTTCACCACAGGATTTACGACTCAAAAAAGTTAAGATATAGGCCATCTTTCTACAAATGATGGAAACCGAGCCAAGGTCACCGGCTAATTAGTGAAAGGGCTAGGATTAGACAACACAATCAGACACCAGCTGGATGTGAAGCCTGGGGGCTCTATCCTGTGAAGTAGGAACTTATCCATTTTGCAAAAAATGTAGGTTAAAGTTGTATAAATTTTGAAATGATATATTTAGATGTGATATGCAGAGGGAGTTACATTCCCACCCATTCATACAACCAGCGAACGCCAGACCTGCAGGTCTAGAGGAAGCTCATCTGACATTACGCTGCCCCCAGAGTTCAAATCCTATTCTGCACCCCACCAAGTGGTCACTGACCCTGGGCTTGAGGCCTCCCAGCCATGGGATCTAAGCCAGTGGTTGTGGGATCCAGATAGTAAACCTGATTTTTAAACTCACTTCCTTCTCCCTTTTAATGAGAACACACCATCTCCATCTCTTATCAAGTCTTGTATCCCGATTTGTCAGTGAGCTCTTCCCAAAGAACCCAGCCTGCTGTTGTAGGCTTCAAGTCCGAATGGCATACTGTTTTAAGAGCTCAGCCGCGGGAGCCCCACAGCCAGAATCTGCATCAAGGCTCTGCTACTTAGCACTACCCATGGCCCTCGGGCAAATTCGGTCTTTGTGGCTCCACATCCCTGTCCATAAGATGGAGGGTAATAATATTCACGCCTACTTTGTAGAAAGTTTTTGTGAGGATTAAATAAGCTAATATGTGTTAGGTACACAGTGGTGTGCGGCATGCTGAAAGTGCTCAGAAACTGCCCTCCAGGGCCAACCTCACCGTCAACAGGTGCACCAAGTCCTTGTTGGCCTCCAGTGGTGGGGCCATGTCTTGCAGCTGGACCAGCTCGTTGATGTGATTGTACAGGGCCAGCAGCTTGTGAACGTTCACCTTCCCACCCTCCAGGTAGTCGGGCATGGCTTCATAGAGGGAGATGAGGTCCTTGAGGTGCACCCCCAGGATGGGGATCTTGAAGTGGGTGCACTCCCCATAGGCTCGCCGGTAGTTGTCATAGTTTCTGCAGGAGGATAGCAGCTCTGTCATCTCACCCAGGACCTACGGAGGCAGAAGCACAGGGCCAATCAGAGGTACTGCTGGGAGGGGAGTCTCTGTAATGTCCACTCGCCTGGTCCTACCCCGCCTAACATGTTGGGCAGGAGGTGATTCATGTCCCCGGTGCCGGACATGACGCCTAGATGTAATGTTTCAGCTCAGGTCAGGCAGCCCAGAGTATACTGTAAAGGGTATGCGTCACAAGTTTCTCGACAACAGCAGGGTTGTAGTGGTCATTTTTAGATTAAATTTTACTTCTTTCAGAAAATACACAGCATAAACACTTGTAACAAAAAAAACGTAAAGTATGGTGAACAAGACAGTGCCCACTGACCTCTGTTCCCAGGCCACAAGTCTCTTTCCCAATTGTCTCATAAACACAGGCGTTCTATTTGCAATGTGGCTTTACGAAATGCGGTATGTGCTGCTAGCTTGGAGAAACCAAATGCGGAGCTTCAGGGGTGTACTGCTTGTTCTCCTCTAGGAGGCGCTCTGCGGGCCTTAACACTGGATGCCCCAAAGGGGCCTGTGTCTAGGAAGTGAGTGACATCCACACGCTTAACGCCCGAACTAAAGAGTCTGAGTAGACTAGACCAGTCGTCAGCAAAGGGCAAAAGAGAGTGAGCTGAAAGCTCTGGGGAGCACTGCTCCTGGAGGGGGGCTGTGCAGTTCCTCAGGCCAGAAAGGGAGTAGGCCCATCAGGTGTTTTTTTCGACCCTGGCTCAGGTGAGCACGTAGTCCACAGATCCCTCTTCCCCACCTGATGGCCAGCCATCTGTCTCAGAAGCAAAGATACCAAATGCAAGGCGTTCCATCATGTCACACACATTAAACGTTTGTGTCTGAAAGTCTTTTAAAGAAATCGTGGTCTGAAGAAGTACCATTTCCCCACAATACAGCACTTAGGCCCGTGGGACAGCAGGGTGAAAGAGTATCGTGGCCTCATGCATCTAGCAAACTGGGCTGAGTGTGCGGTACAGGTGCATGTTGACGTCAGCAAGTCCATGGTTAACTGACTATTTCCCTTCTGCCACCTCTAAGACATGGGCTATTTTTCATGTTTCCAGCCAAACTGCAGGTGATTCAAAGGAAACTCTGAGTCCCCTCTGAGCAGACTGGGGAGGAGGTGGGTGGGCAGCAGCCCGAGCATGAACACCTGGGAACAAGGGTCGGGCTATGAGGCTCAGCCATCCCTCCTTAAGAAAAGGGTCTGCATCCTCAAAGCCCGTTCGGGGGATCAGGGTTTTAGTATATTAAGGGTGGGTATGCTGGTTCCTCTTCGGTGCTGTGGAAATGCCCCAGAGCAGGCATTATCTAAGCCCTATCATGTACAGCTGCACCTGTGTGCTTAACTGTGAGAGTGATTTCTGCTCCTAGGAGCTCCATGTCATAAAAGAAAGGTTACATTCCATTCCAGAGAATCTGATAAGGTAGGAAAGCACTTGGGACATTTCAGAAAAACAGTTTGCAATAAGAGCACTATCTGCTACATAGATGGTATCCAGCGAACTCATCACCAGCTACCTGGGAAAGTCAGCTCTCCAGAATACCACTCTTTAAGGGTTCTGGACAGCTGGGCTCTTCGTGCGTCATTACAGCACGGAATTCTACACTCACCACGCAAAGTGAGCTGTTACCAATGGACCCCTTCCTCCTTCTGGGCAAACGTTTGGGTGCCGGGAGTTGGAGCAAGGCAGCCAGTGCTAAAGATGGTGACCGATCACTCCGTAGCGATGGGTACCTGGAATAGCGATGGTGACATGTCCTTTGCCAGATTGGTCTCAGTTACTCTCAAATCTGCCTTCTCTCTCCTGCAGGTTTCCTTGGGGTTTGCCTGCCTGGCACTTTGGCTGATGAGGGACGGTGCAGTTTGGAAATGCTCTCTGGGTTGCTTTTCAGGGAGAAAACCTCCAGAGTGGCCCTAGGATTCTGGCCAGGGCCACCGAGAATGCAGTTGCACTGACCTTATTGATTTCATGTGGGACATGCGAACTTGTTTCCTTGAGCCGGGAGATGGAGCTGTGACACAGCCCACCGATCACAGCCATCAGTGTGTTGAAGTTCTGTAGCTGGTGCAGCTTCTGCGGCACAGAAGACACAGTCATTATCAATGTCAGGCATCCAAGAGGGGTAGCTCCTTCCTGGGCTGCAGAACTCTCTCTAGCTCCCTTGTTCTTAAGACCCATCCAGAGTAGATGAATACAGATTTTCTGATTTCCTGGGTGGGTGTGTTCGGCATGCCTCTAGCTAATACCACGGCGGGTGGTCCATGCTCTGAGAAGCTTGGAGAAACACTGGCAGAGCTGGAAAAAGACACTTATCACATGCAGTCTTTTCTTCCCTTTCCCCCAAATTAACCCAACAGTTGTACTGTTCGAGGCAGTAACTGGGATAGAGAAGCTAGGATCTCTGGGGGGGTCAAATGTGTGACCCTAGTTCCAGTTTCCCTCTTACCAATGGCTTAACCTCTGCCCCTCCCAGAGTAGAATACTGTCATGGAACCTAGCACAGGCTCTCCATCTTTTGAGACAAAATCTAGGCTTGTGCAGACATTGGAAGGCTTGGCATGTTGCTTTCCTTTGTCAAAGGTAGAGGTCAGATTAGGAGAAGCCAGTGTGGACTGGCTCCAATTTTGGGGAAAATGTGAAAAAGAAAGATGTAGCTACCAGAATACAAATACATCCTGAGCCTGTGGGGCGTGTTTGGCCACTGCTCTTTGTTGCCTTTTTGTGGGGAACAGAAAGGTCACCAGATGTTACCCTGGGAACAACTGAAGGCGGAGTTTCACACCAGGGCTCAGGAGGGAAAGCACCCCTGAGGGGCAGATGGGCGGTGGGGGTAAAAAGGGTGGAGTGTTTCCTTAATAGCCCAGGCCACGAGCCTTACTCCACTCACCTGGGCCACCTGGATGAACTTGATGAAGACTTCTGCCCGGAGCTGCGGGGTGGGGCGGCTGAGAACCATCAGCTGCACCCACTGGGAGATGCCGTTGCACAAGGCAATGGAGCGCTCCATGGTGGGGTTCTCCTTCACACAGCTGTTCACCAGGTAATTCTGATAATCCGAGAACTGGGGGGAAAGAAACCCATCAGGAGGCTCTTGTAGTGTTCTGGGAAGCCTCGGGGCTATCCTGCCCTCTCCTGCATCTTCTCCCAGAATTGGTGGAGGGGGAATTGTTAGCATGCTCCCACAGCATGGCATCAATGGATGCGTAATACACTCATTAATCAAAAGAATGCAATTGTGTAAAGACCCGCCCCTCCAGAATCCGAACAAAAACGGTACAAAGGCAAGAAGGTCTCAATCCTGGCTCCAGGTCTGACGGGGAAGGTCAGAGCAATAAGATCATTTCTTCACACAACATGTAATCGCTCTCATTTTCTCAAGAATGCCCCCCTCCTACTCTCCTGGTTCCTTTTGTGCTTTCACATCTGGATGCCAAATCGGTGCCCTGCCTAGGGCCCAGAATTACCATGCAGACAGTCCAATGAGATCCCATGTGAAAGACCTTAGCGCTTTGCAAGTCCTGCAGCCATGTGAAGTGGTGGCGATGGGAAAAGTGCTAACTGCATGCTGGAACTGACTGGATTCCCTTTCACTGCCTTCCTGACGGGAGGCAGGCTAAGAGGGAATGTGAACTGTGCTTTGCTCCATTTGGGGTGATTGCCCTGGAGACATGGTATTTAGGTGTTGGGTTGCTGACCTCCAGGTAGGTGATTCGAGTCCACCAGCCGCCCCATGGGGAATAAAAGATGAGGCTTTCTGCCCAAGTAAAGAGTTACAGTCCCCCAAACTCTGGGGCAGCTCTACTCTGCCCTATCAGGTTGATAGGAGTTGCAATCGCCTCACTGACAGTGGGTTTTGGTTTTATAGTCCCCAGACTTGACACTGGCATTGACTGGCTGACAATGAGAGAGCCTAGGCTGGCAGTTGGACGTGTCCCGGAGGCTTCAGTGTAAGTGATGAAGGTAAGGTTGGGTCTCTGCCCCAAAGACTCGCACTGCTCAGTCAGCGTCACCGGGAGGGAGGGGCTGTCTGCTCTTGTCCAGCACTGCACTGGGAGTCCCTCTGTTCCAGCGACTCCCGGTCTCTGCTTCTGAGCAGACACAGCCACGTGACACAGGAAGTGACGCCACCTTTGAGTCGATTTAAGAGTCACCGAGTGACCTGCCATGTCGCCCTCCCATTGCTGCCGGAGCTTGTAGGAACTCTTGTCAACAAGAGTAGCGACAGCTGCAATGCCTTCTGGGTCCCTAAGTGACGATGAGCAGAGGGTCCCTAAGAACCCTCTGCGGAGCCATGTGCGACACACAGGAGGAGTAAAACACAAACCTTGGCTTTTGATAAGTTACCAAGATTAGCTAGCGTAGGGTATGCCCGAGTGGTGAATGCCCTGCCAAGCACCCCTCATCCAAGGCCAACAGTTGCAAGTTAACTGAGTCAATGTCATGTGCTGTGGGTGCTGAGCGGGGTGGGCTGGGGGGTGGGGGGTGGAATGTGAGTAGGACCCAAACCACTCCTTAAGAGAGGCAGACAGCTAAAGCCAAAATCTTAGAATAAAAGCGAGGTTCTATGAGTCATTCCAGTGAATACATTTTATAGATACCTCCCACCTTCAATATAATACCGAATCCATTTGTACTTTAAAAGAATGATCCCCATCATTCACCCTACCCTCCGTACAGAAAAGACATTGATACACCAGGCCTAAGACGGCTAACCTTGGAAGGACCTGTGTGAAGGGTAACAACCTTATGAACCTTCATGGGACTTGGATTTAGGGACCGCTCCCACCTTTGTCTCACAGGTAAGGGTGTATAAAGTGTTTGTGCAAACAATCAGGGTTGGGCCGCACGCCTGCTTTCCTCCTAGGAGTGGGCCTAGGCAGAGGACATTGACAGGATCAGCCCCTTGCACACTGCATGCCCGGCAACACAATCTGGTGCTTGAGGAATTCCCGTGCATTCTGTGTGGCCACCGAGAAAGGGCTCTTGGAAGCCTGCATCTGGTTTCCCACCGATGTCACCCCCTGTGCTGTTCCCCTTGGTTACTTTGGTTTATAGCTCTTTGCTGGAATAAGACCAGCGATCCCTCTGAGTGAGTCACCAAATCTGGGGGCACCTTGGGCCCCCCCAGCCCTTCTTCGAACCTGAAGTGTTACACTAAGCCTAAAATATAAAATACCATTCAGCTCGCAGGAGAAATGAGTTTCTCTGCAACCCCATGTTGAAGGGAGGTTACTATTAAGTAAAACTGGTTACAACAGTGTGGGAAAAGCATCCCTCATTTTTTTTTTTTGGTGACGGAACTTGGGTGCTCGGGGAAGGGGAGGATGTCCCTCTTGCAGAGGACCCCGGTTTGGCTCCTCCTTGCTCCCTGGCTCTCCACTGGCCTGAGCATGGCCCTCCCCCAGGCAGCTGGCAGGCCGGGTGGTGTGGCCCCATGGCAGCTCTGGGTTCCAGTGTGATCGAGAACTCTTTTCAGTGCCTCTTGGCTCAGACTGGTGTCCTGCCCTATGCTGAGGGAGCGGCTGTCAAATGACAGCTTCCCAACGTTGCGTTTGGGTCTCTGAGGGGTGCCAGTGATGGCCTGGGGGGTTAGTGCACAGTAACACTTGAAGACTTATTTCTGAATGGGAACTAGGGGGTGGGTTCCTCGCTGACCAGCAGACAATTGTGTGAAGACAGGAAGGATGGCAACACAGGAGCAAAGGTGGACTCACCTCCGACACCTAGTCTGTGGGCTCTCTTCCAGACACATCTGGGCTCCAGGAAGGGGCTCGTTGAGACCCCCAGGCCTAATGTTGGTGTAACAAGAACACCGGCTTGCCTTGATCCCTCCCAGGGGACCCCTCAGCCTCTGACCTAAATAAGCCACACACCTGGGCTCACGTCCTCTCTCCCTGCTCCCTCCCATCACAGCAGGGTCCCTCCCCAACATGGGGGAGCTGAGTTTTAGAGTAAAGCTGAAGAGCCTGTCTGTTGGCAGTGGTTGGACTCAGCAGTACAAGGACGTCATCTGGGGGTTACCACAGAGGCGAACGAGGGGCCTAATATAGTGACACGTTCTCCACCTGAACCATCGCGCGCACGGCATTCCCAGGCTTCCAGCGAGGAAGGGGTGTGCTGGTGTGTGCTTCTGTTTTAATAGGTTGGAGTCCCTTTCCCTTCATATTGCTCTCTGCCACCAGAAACCCTGGTTCTACTTAGTGATCTGAGCCGCGAGGTCGGAGTCACGGCGGCTGCTCTCGGTGATCTCCGGTGACTGTGTGCTGTCCGCACCACTGAGAGAGTTTCCATATACTCTGCGTTGAACCAGGCGCACCGGTTGACCCTGGGACTTCCTAGACCCATTCAGAGCCTATCCAAGGATCAATGCACATTCTTACAGGACATGACTTCTCTCTCTCTTTATAAAAAAAGTCCCCAGAGGGAGTTTAGTGATTATCAGAGAGGAGTGTGTGTGTGTGGGTACGTGCAGGGCAGTATGTGTGCTGAGAGCGCTGTCACTGGAGTGAAGGCTTAGGTAGTGTGGGGTGGCCTTGGAGGCTGGGAGATGGGGGCGACACCACAGAAGCGACCAAAGCCACTCAGAGAGTACGGATTTTCTAGACTATGAGAAGTCTGCCGGATAAGCCGCTTGGCGCTAAACGGTTCGAAATCACCAGCTCAGGGCAGGAGCAGGCTTACTGCTCCCATACGTGTCCCAGGAGCCAAAACGCACACGGGCACGTCTCGCCTAGGATAAGGTGACCAGACGTCCCGCTTTTGGCAGGATAGTCCCGATTTTTGGCGTTTTTAAAAAGTCCCAATTTTTTGAAAGAATGCATGACAAGCTAGGGAACGGTCTATTTGGTCCATATAGACCAAATTTTTAATCAAGAATCAACCCCACCCCCAACCCCCGTCAATGGTGTCTCGCTTTAAATCTGGTCACCTTATGCTAGGAGCCAGCAATGACTTGCTGGACGTTTCCCCTGCCCCTTAGGTACGTACAGCTATCCTTCGGAAGGACTTGAACTCAAGGTAGGTGAGGTGCTCCGATAACTCTTCTGGTTCCAGATGGTCAAAGAGTAGAGAGACTTTGCGTTTCTTGCTGGTATTCGATTTTATCCTTTGAGTAAGCTTCCGGGACCAGTCCCGGGCATTGCTTTTGTACATAAACATAAAAGAAAAAAAATGAAGGGGAAATAACAAACTTGCTTTTTATAAATAAGTCCATTGTCTTCCACAAGAATATATAAAGCACCATTAGTTAATTTAATCATTAGTTAAAATCAGGTATCGACAGTTCCCCCAAATCAACGTTTTATAGAACAGCAACTAGGAAATCTTGTTCGTGTTCAATATTCCTTTGAAGTGTGCCGCGGGGAACCAGCTAGTGGGAGAGTTTACTTTAAGACATGGAAAAACAACCACAGGTCTTGGTCACCATTTCCTTGTCTCACATCAAGCACACCTGCCCTCTCAGGGGCTCCTGCGTGCCTGTGTCCTGATGGGGACTCTATCTAGTTGGAAATGCCGAGGCCGTAGGGCAGTTTTTAGGAGATGGACCTGGAGGACTAGCCTCGTAGTACTGGTTGGAGAAGGTGCAAATAGGTGCAGTTGCACACTCACCAGATGACTGCATGCACGAACAGTTAGGCTGTGCAGGTGCACACTCCACCCTGGAGATGGAAAGCACTCCTGGGCACTAAGTGTCTCGGGTCATGAAAGGGCCTGCAGAATTGACTCAGTGGCAGTGAATTTGGTTTTGTGTTTAGACGTAGCTCGGAGCCTTTTCAGTGGTCAGAAGTGAAAATGATGGGGCATGTATTGGGAGTATGGGGTCCCTTCAGTGATTTCCAAGCGAGGACAGGTTTCCATAACATTACAGGATAAGCAGGAGTTGTTCATAAGGGACATTCATATTTTGACGACTTCCTGATCTAAGGAAGGAGAGGAAGCCGCCCCGTTTGGAGAGGCAGCAGGGGCAGATCAGAGTTTCCCATATTAGTCTTCCTAAGAACCTTAGCACCGGACAAAAGTCTGGACAGAGGGTTTGGAAAAGACCAAAACTCCTGTAAATCAATGAGCATATTACAGACGCAGAGATGCACGGCAGAAGGAACATTTAATTCGCCACTTCTCAAATTCTCAGACCTGGCAACAGCCTACAGAGGAATTCCTAAAGAACAGACAATGGAAAATACTGGCAGAGGAAAAGCTCGTTTGGGACACAGTGAGTCAAGGAGTAGTCCTAAGTTCTTCTATTTTTAAAAGAAGAAATTGTTACTTTGAAGCATCTCTTTAATTTTTGTATACTGTACTTTGGTAAGCAGAGAAGTACAGAGACGCCAATAAATAGATCTGTCTAGGGTCACGGAAAGTGGTTTTGAAGTCATTTCCACAAGGGTATGGCATAAAGGAGGGCCCAGAAAACAAGGGGCTCTGTGTCCTGCAGCCCACATGAGTTTTGATGTCTGTCACTAAGCCTCAGTTTTCCAATCGGGATGTCAAAGCAGACTCTAGAATATATTCCAGCTCAGAATTTCTTTTTTTAAAAAAAGGTTTTTAAAAAAAATAGACATATATTTCACATAAACAATTTAATCATTCAATCATAGTAAGAAAAGTGCGATCATCACAATGAATTTCAAAACATTTTCTTCTTATACTCATTGTTGTTAGCTCCCCCTCTCCCCCCATTTCCCCTGTCATGACCTAAGGTGATTATCCAGTTATTGTCTCTATAGTTTTATCTATCCTGGATTTCATACAGAAAATCAGACAAAACACAAACAGGAAACAAACAAGAACACAAGTGAAGCCAACAACGACTACACCAGACGTAACCTCAACCAAAAAGAAAGCAGAAAATATTAAAAATGGAAATCACTTTAAAAGAGGTCAAAAGGAAGATCAAATCATAGTTTTAGCATAACTACATCTGCCAAAATCAACTTAACAATGCTCTCTGTGTGACAGCAAGGCTATTCACACCCCTTGACTGTGGTCAGAGAGGATTCACTGGAGGTGTAATCCACGTGTGAACCGGCAAGTAGACTTTGTGCTTCCACTGCCATCTATAGACTTCTGTAAACCAGGTGTTCACAATTTAAGCTCTGGCACCATTCCCTCCTTCAGATTTGGATTTTATTATTTGCAATCCTTGGATCACACAGGTTGGCGTGCTTCTTCCATTTGGACTGAGTTGGTGTCTCACCTAGATGGCTGCTTGTTTTAAAACCAACCTTTAAGACCCCAAATGCTGTTCTTTCTAATACCTGGGCACCATCTGGTTTCTTCACCACACTTTGCTATAGCACCCATATCTTCAGTGATATCTTCATGAAGGGGAGTATCAAGAGCTATGTCATAAGAACTCATTGTTCTTAGACGGGCTAGAAATAAGTGGGAGCCCCAAATCCATGCACCTATCTATGGTTTATATATGCCGCTGGTTTCACTTTCGAGACGTTTATAATTTTATGATAGAGAACATTATCAATTATCCCCTTGAGACATAAGATAATTCTCTTGATAGTGTCATTAATTTAGCCAACAGAATAGAATTTAAAACACTGTTGAGAAAAGGAAATTATGTAAGGGTAGGCTGACTTCTGATCACGATACATGGACTGTTGACTTGTACAGATTAAACTCGGAAGTGACAGGACGCCATTTACACAAACAATGGGTTGGTGATAGGGCAAAACTTTTAATAACACTCATTCACAAAGGCAGAACCATGCCTTCCAGACTAACACATGTCATGGAAATACAAAACAACAACAACAAAAAACAAAAACAAAAGGAGGGCATGAAAATAGTAAACAAATGGCAGTCCAGGGTTGCCATTCATTGAGCACCCTCCAGGGGTAAGAGATTGGAACAAAAGTTCAATGACCACCGAGTCAGTAACCTTGGGGTAACAGCCATCTGACTCTTTTCACCCTAGAGTGTTTAAGCCGCCAGTCTGTCCAAGAGAATAGGCAGGTTCCTTAAATTTGCTACAGGTGAGTTTGAGGTCAAGCTCAGTTCACTTCCTGGGTTTCCACACTGATGTGGCCTATGGAGGATGTGCACTTTGAAAGGGCAGGGCGAAAGTGCTGGTAGTCTGTAGCACATGGCCTGGGTCACCAAGGGCTCGATAGGAACTAGTTCAAAAGTGTCTAATGAACACAGTACTGGCAGTATTCACCCGTTAGGGTTTATATAAGTATTGTTAAGCAGTTTTTCCCTAATGGGAAGTTATTCCACCTGGTTTAACCACCAACCTAAATGTAATCACCTTCTTTGAGACATATAAACCCTCCTTCCCCCCTATTGACCTGGATTTCCAATTAGATTTGCTTATCACTCTTGGAGAAGTATCTGTTGATTTAGGGATGACCTTAGCACCATGTTGTATAGTAGCAACTGGATCGTCTTCTCCCTTTCCTCCCATCTTGAGAAACTGACCCCAGCTGAGGTGAGGTGGCCTCTCGAAGTGGTTTTAAAGAGATACATATAAAGGAGGTGATATATGGCTAATGGGTGCTAGGCAGGCTCTCTACCCCATTGGTTAGGAGACTGGAGAAGACAATTAGATGACCTGAGAGCAGCTTGTTGTTTATCCATATAGTCATGGACTCATACAGTATTTATCCTTTTGTAATCGACTGATTCACTCAGCACAAAGTTTTCCAGGTCTGTCCATGTCATGAGGTGTTCCCTGGTTTCATCGCCGCTTTATAGGGGTGCATCACATTCCATTATGCGGATATCCCCAAGTTTCTTTACCCATTCTCCTACTGATGGGCACTTGGGCTGTTGCCACTGCTTGCTACCGTGAACCCCACTGCACCAAACATGGCAGAGCGTGCACCTGTTCTTGTCCTGCCTCTTTGGTTGGGGTACATGCCCAACAAAAGCATTGCTGGGTCATATGGTATTTCTATCCCCAGTTTTAGGTACTGCCATATTGTTTTCCAGTCTCTGGAATCCTTAACCCTAAAGCTCTTTCTTATGCCAAAACAAAGCACCCACAATGTGAAAACCTTGGCCTTCAACTCCTTTCCCCCCAACCGAGAGAGAGCGACTTCCCCTCAGAGTGGGTACATCAATCCTGTAAATAAGAAATCCAAGGAATAATTTGAACTAGTCCTCAGGCCTCTCCCCACTGGGCCGCTGGAGCTGGGCATCCTGTGTTGTAGGCCCTGTGCTCAGTCCCTTCTGTTGACAAGCTGGGGGTGGGGGGTGACATGGGGTGGAGGCCGTTGGCACCCGCTGCGGAAGAAGCATGGGTTTCTAATCATCTGGCTAACTTTTAGTCAGTCTCTTGCTCCCCAGTTTCATTTTCATTTTGACTGGGACTTTCCCCCTGGCTCTTGGATATGAGTCAGCCCCGTACCCGTGGGGGCTCCGCGGCTCTCCTCTGACATGCCCAGCTTTCCCCATTGGTTTGGCCCTCGCAGGTGAGTGAAGGTGAGCAGCCAGCCGTGGCAGCGGGAAGCCCAGCTGAAGCAGCCTGGACAGCACCCTAGAAGGGAGGTGGTTTCGAAAGATGAGTCAAAACCTTGACACTCACATTTGAGTTGTGTCAATTAGGCGGCAGTGTAACTCCTCACCATTAGCTTTCACTAGCTCCTGGAACTCCTCCACCGTGTTGGTCAAGCCGGCATCCATTTTAAACATGACCCAGAATTCGGTTATCCAATACCTACAAGGAGGGAGTGAAAACACAACAAGACACAATCCAAAGGGAGTCAGAGTCCTACACTGGTGGAATCTGCTACCCGAAAGCAATTCTGACATCGAGGCCGGCGTGCTCTTTATTTCCTTGAAGCAGCTCGGGAAGTAAACTGCCCACTGACCATCTTCTCCACGTGCCAAGCGCTTTGAGAAGCTAATATGTGTTTAATCAAAGGAGCTACGATAAAGATTGGGCAAAGCCATATGCATCAGGGATAATTATAAAGGAGACAACTACAGACAAACCAAATAGCTAAAACTGGGCCAAGACAGCTGAAGCTGTCCTTTGTCCTATGTTGGAATCTTGTAGGGCCATTCCAATCATTTACAGGAAGCCATTATTGACTAGAGGACATTGCTACTCATGGGAACATTATAGGACACAAACGCATGTGTCTGGATTTCAACTGCGTTAAAGAGGCTGCTGAAACAAGACCAAAGGGAATTCACCAGCATTTCACCAACAGCTTCTTTTAGGCCATTAGGTTGAGGAATAGTTGGCATTGTGTTCTATTCCTTTATGTATTTTCAAAATGTTCTACAATGAACTAGATTACTTTGTAAAAACTTATAAAAATGTCAGAACACAACCGAGAGATCTCTCTCCACCTCTTGTGCTGATGTGAAAATGCTATGAGACGAAAGAAAACATTCGGCATAAAATATTTAGCTCGGGGATGCCAGGAGCAACAACAACAAGACACTTGCTCCCTCTGCGAGGATTTCCGGTCATAGAGATTGGTCGCTCCAGTCTGTGGACCCTGGTCGTTGGGTGGGGAAGGCAGGGAGGGACAAGAGAGAGCCAGTGCCCCTCGCCTCCGCTTTTCAAGTCTGCAAATCCTCAAACGCACACACAGAGACATTACCTTACAAAGTAGCAGATCTTCAGGCAAAGCCCCGGCGAGTCCTTCGCCAAGGCATCCTTGTAGGTAGAGCGGTGGTTAAGGGAAAGGGCAGCCTCAGAAACCCAAACAACTTTTCATCTCGGGAAGTATCTGCTAAAACAACCCCAGGAAGGAAGTGTATTTCCATGGCAACGGGATGCCTCCGGCTGTGTGAGGTGTGGCGGCAGTGAGCGAGTGGGCGAAAAAGCAACCTGAGAGTGACTGTCACCCAGGAGGGCGACCACACGGCTGCGTCTAGCCCAAGCTGAAGTGGGCGATGGAAGGAGATTTTTTTACCTCTTACTTTAAGGAGAACATTTATGAAGTCTTAAAAAAGGCGAAGACCACACAGAGACACAGACACTTCATCCGGAGGAGGGAGGCCAAGAGCACAAGGTTTCAATGGTGTCCGAGGGTTTGTTCGAGGCTGGAGACCGTCACAGGAGCAGACAGCATCATCTTTGTCCTGCGGAGTGCTAGTGGGCTTGAATCTTGCAGTTAGCAGCCCAACGACACCCCCCACCCACCCGCAGTGCCTCCAAGCGTCTTCATCATGTTTCCAGTAAATGAGAAACTGTGCAGTAGTCTAGCAGTAGAAGGAGAGCATGGTAGGAAGACACAGTGTCATGGGAACTAAGAAGAAGAACGCGCAAACACACAGACACGGGAGCTCTGTGGAATGACTAGCTGTGACGGCAAGTCAGACAAACCCACAAGAAACCCATTGCCACTGAGGTGTGTCCGATTCATAGTGAGGCCGTAGCAGCCCTATAGGGCAGAGGATAACTGCCCCATCCCAGGGCTGTACGCTCTGTGGAGCAGACTGCCACTGCTTTCTCCTAGGGCCGTGGTGGCTGGTGAACCCAGACCCCAACCTTTTGGTCAGCAGTCAAGTGCTGTGACCACTGCCTCCCTAGGGTTAGCCATCTGAGTAACCCCACCTGGGGCCAGATCACAGTCAGGGTCTGTCTGATGCTGAGCATTCCGGGAGAATGATGCCTTTCCTAAGGAGGGCAAGATCCTGTCACAGCCGTGTGTTTCGAGGCACGGAAGCCTGCGAGAACTCGGGCGGGGCTGCCTTGTGTATCCAGGGCTCACACTTGCTGCCTTTGACGGGGTGCAGTCTTACCACTTTTCTACTGCTGGACATATTTGGGGTTTCCTTCTTTGACAGGTTGCCACCTTACACCGCTCCAGCTTTCACAAGCGTTACTGTCTACGAAAGAGACAAACACATGCAAACGCCAGCCCAGTGGGGAAGCTGGGCGGGTCCTGCCTTCTCCATCAGCAGCCCAGGGATCTGGCTACCTGGGCGGTGTGCTCTGCAAGGCCACGCCCACCAGGCGGTCTGATAACTGTAAAAGGGGTCTTAGGCTGCAGCCCTTAAGCATCCGGCCACTAACTGAAAGCTTAGCCGTCTGAAGCCACCCAGACCTTCCCCAGAAAGAAGGCCTGGCAGTCTGCCCAAGTAACGATTCCAACCCTGAAGAGTGTGGGGCCACTGTCCTTGGTCACATGGGTGGCTCTGCGTCAGCATCTCCTCCACGGCTCACAACAGCAAGACCTCAGTAACTAAGACAGATATCCGTTTCTCCCATCAGGGTCACTGCCAGGGATGCCAACGAAATGGGCCTGGCAGTGGGTCTCTTTAGGGGGATTATGCACACCTTTACATTTTGGTAAAATTTAGAATTCATCTGGGAAAGTAAAGAGAATCAGACCCATAGTCCTGGTTTTTTTAAAACTTGGAAGGAATTTGTGTATTCTGAAATGTGACATGCCTGTGATATCTGAAAGCACATTAGGACGATTGCCTGGATGGTTGCATGTAACTGGGTGGTTTTGCCTTGTGGTTTTAAATGGAAGCCTTATTAAGTTTGATGCACAGCTTTGGAACATCGAAGATCGTGTTAGTAGTGCTGTTTATAACTTTAATCCATTAGTGTTATAAACATTATTCAGAATTCAGGAAGGCATCCAAAGCACTTAAAAATAATCTGTGATGCTAAATTCATAACTGTGCTTTAAAACCAATAAAGACAGTTAACTAACATTATTCAAATTAACCAAGCACATTACAAGGCCTCTTAAAAATCTTCTCTAAAATATGCTAGGCTTACAGAAAGAATAATGAGCTATTTGCAGACTAAACTTAAAAACCCCAGAGGAAAATTAGGGTTGTGAAATTTGTCATCTTAATGATTTCTAATTTAATTAAAATTTGAATAATTTTACTGTCTAATCTGTCCTTAAGAGCTGCAAAATGGAACAAAAGAGACATCATCTTATGTCAGTGGAGGGCACCCTCTTGAAGCTGTGTTATTTGTCTTTCAGTTTTTCAGCATATGAACCCCAGGACTGATGAGCCTATAGGGACAGCAAGTAGAATAAGGGGTGTGGGGGGAGGAGGGTACAGTGGTGGCAGGGTGGGATAAAAGGGAGATGATGTCAAGGAGTCATTGTCGAAAAGATTGTTTGGAAACGGGTTGTGGTAGCAATTGTACCATTCTACTTGACGTGATTGAAATATGGAATGATAGACGTACAAAATCCCAACTAATAAAACCAGTGAGCCCCAGCACCTGGCAAATTTCATAAATTTAAATGTCCCGATGCCTGCCTTTCTTGGGTGTAGAAAGTACATAATAAGAATGAGCTGACTTTACATGTCTTGATCCCAGACCAGGAAGGCAGCCCATCACTTAAGCCCTAAGAGATTGCAGTATCAGGTACATTCTATACAAGTGCCCCTCAGCGTCTACTATGTGATCGACGGTATGTGTGGAACTTTCATTGCTGTGTAAAGCGGGGAGACGTAAAACACACGTCTCTTGAGAGCAGTGTCACCTGGGTAAGCCCAACCCATCCTTCAGCTGAGTGCGGAGCGTGTGGGCCACTCGAGGGACAGGGCAGAAGCCTCTCAGCCATCACACAGGCAGCACGCTCCAGGGCGAGTCAGAAACGGGGGAGTCAGCAGAGGTGCTGCGATCTGATCTGGGGGAAACGTCACTACCTCCTGAAAGCCTCCCACCCCACACCTCAGACTCACCGCTGCAGCCACCATTGGCCGTGGCCGTGAAGTACCGGCATCGTTCTGAGAGTGCCTTGCGGGCATCTGAACTATCCAAAGCAGTCTTTTACATTCATTTCTCTCTTTCAATAATGGAAAAATAGAAACTTTCTGAGTGCCTTTAACTATCAGTTCTATCCCTACCCCGCCAGAGAGCAAGAACACGAAGTGTGGAGGAGGAAACGGTTTTGCTTTCAATATTTAACCTGGGTTTTTATGGCAGGAAGTCTTAGTTGATATCCCTTCTTAGAATGCCTTCCCACAGCACGGGTTGCTTCGTAAGCTGGGCAAAGCGGAGGTCCCGGGACCAAAGGTTCCTTCCTCACATGACAGTTCTGAGAGAGAGAAAGTAGCATCCCAATCATAATCCAGTATTCACTGACCCCTACCAACGAGAAAGCCTGATGGTCAAGAATACTGATTAACCCCGATGGTGAAGGTTTCGGAATATATCACGGAACGGCAGAGGATGAGACGTCTGTGCGGGAAGAAGTATAGTCAGAGCTCCTGGAAGCCATGATGGCGAGACTCCGTCTCATGGACTTTGGATCTGTCAGAAGGACCGCCCAGTCCCGAGAGGAGGACATCATGCTTGGTGGGGTCAGCAGAAGCGAAGGCCCTCCACGAGACGGGCTGGCACAGTGGCTGCTACAGAGATAACAAGGCTCGCGAGGATGGCCTCACACAGCCAGGTGGCATTTCAGCTCCGCTGTGCACCGTGTTACTATAAGTCAGGAGCAGCCCCAAAGGGCATCTCACAACCACACCAAACTACTTTTAACAAAAGAAGTTATACTCTATAATGCGAGTCGGAATCAATGCGGCAGCAACTAGCGGCCTTCACCATGAGATGAGATGGAGCAAGATTGGGCAAAGCTTGTATATAAGGTTGTTTGGAGCTGAAGGAGCCCCGGTGTCTGAAGGGAAGATGAAAACACAGGCGGAATTAATGAGGCAGTTGTTGGTGCATGGGGGGGCGGGGGTGAGCTAATGAGTTATACTCTGAACATATTCAGTGTCTGCGGGATAAGTGCAGTGAAGTGGATTATTTCAGGTGGCTCTTCTAGGCACAGTTCCTGTAACTCGCTCCTCCATCCTTTCCTGCTGGGACTGGGTCAGAGAAAGCAGGGGGTGTGGGCAGACACACGGATAGGATTCAGTTGTGACCGACTGTTAACAGGGTTCATGTTGGTTGCCACCCAGCTGGGGATAAAATGAACCATCTTAGAAGCAGGGAGGGGTGACTCACTCCCAGGAAGTGAGAAAAGCCAGGAGTGGAGCACATGCTTTGGATCCCGAGCTATCTGTACACGGACCCTTCTTGATCCAGGAGACAGCTTTGCCATCAGCGAAGCAGTGGAGGTGCAGCAACAGCACAGCCAGAAGCCGGAGCACGAGACAGGCTCACAGAGCAAGGAAAAGCTGAGTGCTTTGTGGGAGGAGGCTGGCTCGTGGAGTGGGGTGCCTCTGGGCACTTAATAGGGGGAGCTGGGTTTGCTGAGTGCCTCCATAGAGCTGAGTACCTTTGTGTTGAAACTCATAGCAGAGTAGCATGCCCTGTGGACATTTATTGGCAGCCCTAAAAGAGTTCCGTGGCATTGCCTGAGCAGGGCAGAGGGCAAGCCAATCCGCAGAGGACCAGAGAGAGGGCTGTAGCCTGTAGCCTGAGCATTTCACACGCACATGAACTGTATAGCCCGTTCACTTCACTAGCAAGAACGAGTCAGAAAACTGCGGCTCTTTTGGTATGTACTTGTGGCTCTGAAGTCAAATGGAAAAATGTTAAAGGATATCATTCAGATAATGGTGATTTCATTTGTATATATGTATATATATATAATTTTTAAGGTCTTGTGAGGGTCCGGACTGGCTCTTCCATTTCAAAGGTTTGCCGACCCCTAATCAGGAGCACTGTCTGCAAGTCCTCTGTGGCCACTTCGAGGAATGGCTGAGCCCGGCCTGCAAGCAGAGCGTGCTGCACGAGGCAGAGCCTGTGGAAGCAGAGTTCTGCGGGAGAGCAACAAGTTAGTCAAACTTGACAACACAGGCTTGAGTCAGAGAAACAGACTTGAAAGCACCGGAAACGGGAATCTTAAAGAACGCAAGAGAGGGAAGGCAGTGAGGCCATTATGCCCAAGTTTAAGAGGTCCTCAGAGAAGACCCGAGTTGGAAAGCTGGAGACAGGCTGGCCAGCGGAGAAGAGCTCAGGGTGCAGTGCTTGCTTGGTGCTCTGGAAGGGAGCATGGACAGGCAGGGGATTGTCCGTAAGGGGTTGTCTTAAACAAGGATGGAAACAAGTGCTGGCCTGGCACTTAGGACATCGCTGGTGATATCAGAGGAGGTGAGGACCACGGAGAGCAGGAATGAGTGGGCAGTGAGGGCCTGGAGACAGCAAGCACAGACTCTTTTAAGAAGTTTGCTTGTTGAATTTCTGCCTGTCACAACTGAAGGAAGGGGAGGGACTCCTGAGCGTTGGAGGGAGGGACGTGAATATGTTTTAGGCTGGGAGGGGGGCGTTCACTATCACAGAGGCAAAGTTTAAAACTTTAGGAGCAAAGAGAAAGCTGACAGCGTGAACTCCGTGATTGGAGAGGGTGGGGTGGGGGAGCTGCTGAGGGGTGGGGGGAGTGAGACTAGGGTGACCACCTCGGGTATCATTGACTCTGTAGGCCAACAAATCATTTTTCCCTCCAGGGAGGGCTATTTAATCACTGACGTTGTTTAGAAGCATCAGTACGTGGAGTTCCTCAAAGGCAGGCGGCCTCAGAGCTGGTTTGATCATAGTTTGAAGGCCATCCCTTTATGACCTGCCTCTCTGATTCCATGGACTTTTACTAATGCAACGTCCTTCACGGTGAGAAGTACGGATGTATGAGTAGATGTAGAGAAGAGATTCAGAGAAGAGATGATGGTTTTACGTTTGTTTTGGGCATACCATAAGGTGACAAGGAGGCCTTAGGAGAGTGGCAAAGGATTAGAACAGCCACAAGCCACGACTCAGTACCAGGGACCCTGAGCCTCAGGTGCCAAACCGTCTCCTCTTCGGGAGCTGGGCTGACCCAGTCATCAGGGAGAGGGAGAAGGCAGGTGGCACGTTCTTCCCCCTATGCCATTCACACCCCACAGGAAGGTGGGCAGCCCGCAGGGCTTGCTTGGCACACCTTCTCCGCCTGCAGCAACCGGGGCACAGGTTCTCCAGACCCCGGGAAGCTCGAGCAGCCGCACAGGAGAGCCAGGGCCCAAACTGCCACTGGAGTCACGCTTGTGTCCTCGCCAATGTGCGCAGGATGGACACACGGCTGGATGCCCAGCCAGGAAAGACACCTTTGTCAGCAAGAGGTGCTGCAGGAGCTGGCGTGGGCATGTTGATTTCTTTGGAATAATTAGCATCAGCAAGAGTCCGACCTCCAATAGAAGACGTGTGCCAGTGTGTGCATGAGCCCCGCCCCCTCCTCCCCTCCCCATACTCCTCTTATTTCTGGAAAGGACCCAGGCACCCATTTGCCACTCAGGGTTACTCGCAACTAATGAAACGAGAAGCCAACGTCCCAGGAAGTTTGACAGCAACACAGATTGCAAGCTAACCTTTGAATGCCTTCATTCAAAAGGGGCCACTTTGGGGTGCCCCGCCCCCAAGCTAAAGGATATAGGGTGATCACTCTCTGCAGCAGCTCAGCGGAGGAGATGAGAATCCGGTGCATGGTCAGCACTACTTGCAGCAGCTGGTTGCTTCGACACAGGTTTCCATCTGCATCTGAAGACACAAAGAGCAGCCGCTGGGTTAGGCAGGGCACCTGACAGCCAGCCCTCCAGGACTCGCTGCCCCTGCACCACGCAGCGCTCCCTGCTGTGCTTTTCTCCTCCGCTGCTGTGTCCTCCCCTTCCCTGCATGTCCAGTGGGGTGCTCCTTGACCGACCACTGCCACCACCTCCCGCCCAAAGGGGCTCACGCCTCGGAAAAGGAAGGAAACTGGCACCAGGACCCCGGAGTCTTTGTGGACAGCAGAAGCAGACCCAGGTTTCGTGGGGCCAAACGTTCATATAGCTGAGAGGGTGGCGGGTGAGCTCCTGATGTCAGCGTGAAAAAGATAATTTGGGGACCTGCAGCCCCCAATATTAATTACACGTGTACGTTTTAACACATGAGCACACGAATACATGTTTAGGCCTTGCCATGCCTGGGAAGGGGCTCGTGTTAGTGAGCGGCCCTGCTTTGTAAGCTTATGTTGTTTCATGCATGATACCAGGGACTTTTACATGTTCATAGGGAAGTTCCATTTTCTTTTAATTCCATTATTCTCCACCACCATGTTGACTCTTCCTCGTATTACTCTGATTGGAAATGAAGGAAGACTGGGGAGGCAAACGTGACATTTGAAACTTGTTGGTGGGTTCCAGTAATCAGGCAGACTAAAGGCAGAGAGCATAGCTAGATTTCGTAAATCCCAGCTGGCATCCAATAAGATACATTTCATATACTGCAAGATTGCCCCTGGAGAAGTTCTCAAATTCTTTTCAACCTTTATGGCAAGAAAGACCACTGGCTGAAGTGGCTCATCGTTCTTTTTCTTCCTGGGCTCCTTGACATCATCTCCCGTTTACAGCCACCTCCCCGCAGCTCCCCCCAACCCTTATTCTACTTGCTGTCCCTATAGGTTCATCAATCTTGGGTTCCATATACTGAGAAAACAGAAAACCATATAACACAACTTCAAGAGGATGACCGCCAATGACAGAAAAGCTCTGCGATAAACCCTAATATGAACAAACAAAAACAAAACAAAACTAAATACAGAAAATGCTGAAAACCAGACCAGGTCCAGGGTGCACCAGATTGGGGGTGGGGGGTGGGGGGTGGATCAAGTGGCAAAGTTTTAATGGTTCAAGTCAGATTTATCCCCTTGATTTACTATACTCATCTGTAGTAAGATATGTATGACTTGGGCAAACCTGTGACGGATATTCTCAGTGATTATTTTTGTAAATTTCCCCGCTCCTCTACTTTACCAAGCCTGGAGTCCTTTTCCAGGGACTGGTCTTTCCTGACAATATGTTGAAAGTATGTAAGAACGAAGTCTTGCCATCCTTGCTTCTAAGAAGCATTCTGGCCTTACTTCTTTCAAGACAGTTTGGGTTGTCCTTTTAGCAGTCCATGGTACGTTCAATATTCTTCACCAGCACCACAATTCAAATGCATCGATTCATCTTTGGACTCCTTGTTCAATGCCCAACTCTCACATGCATATGAAGCAATGGAAAATACCATGGCTCGGGTAAGCCACATGCATCTTCATCCTCAAAGTAACACCCTTGCTTTTCAATACTCTACAGAGGCCTTGTGCAGCAAATGTACCTAATGCTATGAGTTGCTTGATCTCTTGACTGCTACTTCTTTGAGCATTGATTATGGGTCCAAGTAAGACAAAATTCTTGACAACTTCAATCTTCTCTCCATTTCTCATGATGTCACCTATTGGGTCCGTTGTGAGAATTTTGGTCCTCTTGACATTGAGTCAAGAAGTCATGGATTCTTACGGAAGGCTGCAATTCTTGATCTTCATTAGGAAGTGCGTCAAGTCCTCCTCACTTTCAGCAGACAAGGCTGTGTCATCTATATACTGCAGGTGGTTAACAAGCCTTTCTCCTACTGCGATACTACTTTCTTCTTCATATAAGCCAGCTTCTATTTTTGTTGCACATACAGGTTGAACAAATCTGGTGAGAGGATACAAGCCGGACATTAACCTTCAATGATTTTAAACCATGCAGTATTTCCTTGTTCTTGATCCATGTACAAGTTCCTCATGAGCACACGTGTTCTGGAATGCCCATTCTTCTCAAGGTTATCTATAGGTTATTATGGTCCACACAGTAGAATGCCTTTGCATAGTCAATGAAACACAAGTCATCTGTATAGCACTTTGAAATAAATGTTAATATGAAAATAATAATAATTTATCATCTATCAAGGGGTCACGAGGGTAGGGGCGGGGAGGGAAAGGGATAAGAGAGGAGCTGATACCAAGGACTCAATAGAAAGTAACTATCTAGAAAAAAATGATGGCAACATATGTACAAATATGCCTGATATAATTGATGTATGGATTGTAACGAGTTGTAAAAGCCCACAATAAAATGACCTTTTAATAAAAAATAAATAAAATAAATATTTAAAAGGCTATCCATTTTATTATGTTCCATGCACATGTACAAAAGGCTAAATGATGAGCACAGTGTAGTTGGGCTTGGATTAGATATCTTGGGTCAGGCATAGCTGACGACCAAAAGTCCTTCTTCATGGTACGGTATCACTTAGCTTCCCACCCATCACCAAACCTACCAACTCACTTTCACTCTACCAACCATCTCTCTGCTGGCCTGGCTGCCATGGAGGGCTCTTCAGAGCCCATCCTTCCCCTGTGTTCTAGGGCTGCTGCTTTCCCATGGACCAAAACACCCCAGACTACTGCCAATTGTAACGCATGGTGACATACAGGACAGAGTAAAATTGACCCTGTGGGTTTCTGAGACTCTTGACTCTTCACGGGAGTAGAAATCCTTATCTCTCTCCAGATCCAGGGGCCAGGATTCTGAATTCATCCACTCTCTGCCTTCCAATATCAATTTCTCTCTCTGCACATTTGCTTCCATTGACATGTAAGTATGCCCCAGAATCTCCAAAGTAAAACACCCAAAAATAAAATAATTCTCTCTAGCTCCCTATTTGTTCCACTTGCCAGCAAAATCTCATTGTCAATGATTTCTCATTCACTTTTCAGTCATTGACTTCTGCCCCCAACATTTTATTCCATCTTTAATTTTCAAGGTCTTCAACTAGCTCTAAACCGCCAGACCCAAGACTTTTCCGCCTATGTTCGCATCTTCATGAAAATGGCATCAGCCAATGTTCTCCTCTCTCTCTCTCTCCATCTCCCCTCCCTACCTCCCTCTCCTCTCCCCTCCCCCTCCGTCTCCCTCCTGGAGCAATGTCTTCCCTTGGCTACCAGGACACTGCCTGCCCTCAGTCCCTTCTGCTTTCCTTCTGTCTCCTCTCACTCTGCTAAGATGTTAACTGTCAGAGTTCTCCATGGCTTAGCCTTCGGTGCACTTCTTGAGTTCAACGTCCTCGGTGAACTCACCTAGGCCCTGGTTAAAATACCACGGAGATACTACTGACCACTGTTGAGCTTCTATTTTTAGCCCTGAGTACCAACTAGATTAATATGTCCAGCAGCGTTCTTACTATATCCAGTTAGATGTCTAAGTGGCATTCCAAATCGGCATGTTTACATTTCACTTACGCAAACAAAACTCTTGGCTTCTCCTTTCCCCCAGCCCTCTGACCCATCCCAGTGCCAGGCTTCCCCACTTTAGGAAATGGCACCAAGAACCATCCTCTCAGTTACCCACATGGAGCCATGAGAGACACCCTTGTTTACTTACTTTCTTCCACACCCAACCCATCAGCACGTTTTGATTCTATTTCTACGGTGTCTCTCATGCCTGCACATCTCTTTCTGTTTCTGCCGTCACCTTAGTTGTCGCTGTAGCTGGTACAGGACGCAACAGCCTAATCTCCCAACTCCCACTCTGGGTCGTTCTCCACAGCCAGGAGTGAGCTCAGCCAGGAGTGAGCTTCTATGACCAGAAACCAGGTCATAAGCTTCACAGACCTGCTTTCAATGAACACTTGTGTGGAACTATGTGATAAATGAGAGCCTGTCAAAAATCTGTTGAGTCTGCATCCCAGTTTTCCGATGAATTGTGGACGTGGTCTTAGGTTTATTCCGCATGTCCATCTTGGACCTCACACTTACGACCCCCTCTTTATACGTAAGGACAAGGGGCTTGGGATGATTCTGGCTGAAATAAAAATCAAGTCATGGACGAGTTCAGGGGACTAAAAGGTTTACAATGGAAAAGAAAAGGCTCAGGGGACACTTCAAGTATCTCAAATAATTGAAGTGTAACTTGTGGGAAAAGGTTTGGACTTGCTCTGTGGGGGACCCTCCTGGCAGAACTTGAGTTGGTGGCCCCAAAGGGAAGCACTCTCTTCACAGGTGCATTGAAGAGGTGGCTGGACAGCGACATTTAGGGATCTTTATTAAAACTGGAAGAGCACGGTCATTTATTAAAGCCCAGTTAGACAGCAAGGGCTGCGCAAACCGCGTTAACAGTATGATTTCTACGTCTCGCCACTCTGCCACGTCGGTACTGCTCACGCTCTCTAGCTGAGGCAATGAGAGCTAAGCAAGATGGGCCGAGGAGCTAGGATGTGGTCTCCCATCTGCTGGAGTCCAGAACCCCTACTCCTTCCCTTGTACCTTGAATGGGATGCCCATTCACCAGGGTGGGCGGTTCGAGGATCGAGTGATGGGGTAGGGGTTGGCTAAAGCTGAAGAGCTTTCAGGTCTTCACCAGGCCCCTGGGGTTGCAAATCTAAGAGAGGGCTCCTGGGGTACTGGGTTGGAGCCATTGCCCATCTAAGAGAGGGCCCCTGGGGTACTGGGTTGGAGCCAGTGCCCATCTAAGAGAGGGCCCCTGGGTACTGGGTTGGAGCCAGTGCCCATCTGACAGAGTAGCTTCTGTTCTTTGGTGATTTCTGAAAACTTGCCCCAGCCTCGGTTGATCGACCCTGCTCGTTAAAGTTGCCGTCCAGCTAAGAACCAAGGGTGCTGTATCAGGGTTCACAATCAGATCCACGCTTCGCTGGTGCCTGGCACCTTGCTTCAGGGGCCCTTCCCATGGCGGGGC